GGTGTCGGTTAATTGGTAGCAGACTTGTCTGGGAGGATAAAAAACACTGACTTGTACATCGGCTGGCCCCCGCAAGTCATTGTATAGGCCACATCGCATTCAAATGCCACTGCGAATGTACAAATGGAAGTAGAATGCGTGCCGCATCCCAAAACGGGATTGATCAACGGCAAATGCTTTATCCTTTTATCCTTTGAACGGCTAACGTCGTTGCAGTTGCATAGTGAAAATGGCAGTAATTCCCCAAGTGAGCGTATCAGTGCGTAAAGATAAAAGTCATATATAAAAGTCATATATGTATAAATTGAAAGTAGTCGGTCAAATGACTCCGACTGTGGGCCAAGTACGCGTCATGCGCAGTGCATGTGTTGACGCTTCTCGCACTGTCCGCACTAACCGCACTAGCAGTGTCCACGTCGGTTCAAAGCATGAAAAGGCCCAAGGGATGTGGTCAAACCACATCCCATCGCTTCTCCTCCAACAACATCCCTAAATTGCCTTCGCTTCCCAGCCGCAGTCATTGCATTCAAAGCAACAACTCCAGATCAAATCGGTCGGTAACTGCTGTGGATAATGAAAATATGGATGCAGAACTGACAACTGAGAAACAACAAAGAATCATAAGTCATACTTGATTTGAAAGTATTTAATGGGTTATTTCTCCTTACCTTCCTTGAAAAAGGCAGGGGGGCGGTGTGTCGGACGAGTTTCCTGAACTTGCTTAATGCTATGGACTCCACTTAAAACCACGCGTATTTGAAGTAGCGCCGATAACACTGTTAATCCGCGTGAGCACGAGGATCTTGTCTAAGAGTTCACGTTAGTCACCATCAGACCACCTTGTAAGAAACATTGTCGCGCACTTTAAAGACGCGCAACGGCGCATCTGTGGTCTAATATCTAGTAGGCTACCCTATCCCACACACAATAGGTTCTTCGACACAACCTCATCTGGGGTTGTTGCTTTAAATACAAGTGTTACACATATATGGCAGTTTGTTGTAGAAACTGTCGTCAATCACGATCTTTCTATGATCTTCTCGGGAAGCGAATTTAAAGAAATTTTAAGGAACAAGACTAGGAAATTTTTCAGTTGGAGCAGGTACATAAAATTGCTTCAGGGGCTCCGGAATGTCGAACAGCTCAGCATCACTACACATACACGAGACGAGAATGACGTTTGAGGCAATGATACACGATCAGGTGGATGTTGAAATATTCGTATGATGGTGATGTGGATGGTTGGAGGTCTTCGATATGATGCATTCTACTTCAGATGTTTTTGGAGTCCCCAATTTCGAATTTTCTGATGAACGCACACTAGGACACATCACGTCAATGCACTGACTGCACATGCACCGCCATCTTGTTACCTATTTACATTTTTACGGGATTTATGTAGACCTCATCGGCTTGGCCCTCGGCCCTGCAACACTCTAGCCCGGGTACTGTGCGGTAGACGCGTTATGCGATTGCGCGCAAATATTCTAATATCATCATCCTGTAGAAATTTGTTGTACCGCAAAGGTTTTGCATGCATCAAGGTCTCACCTTTGGTGTGGATCTGCTAGCACATACTGACGTCAGTCAATGGCGAATAGGAATAGGCTCTCATTCAGGTCTAGACACTTTTTTGGTTATGATTTTGCATTTGGTCATCATTAGAACATTTGAACGACTAGAATAGAGATGAGCTTTATTCCAGACTCAAAAAACTTTCAGGCCTGAACAAGTTTAATTCAGTCACCTCAACCGTCAAAACATGCTAGCACCACCTAACCGCATCAACGAGACCGAAAACTTGGTTCATCTCATCAGATTTGGACGACGCAAAAGTCATGCAGTGTGAACTCTTGAGGATCTAGGGGTGGCAGAAAAGTAGACGGCGGCGCGGACGCGTGAGCGTGCTAATGACGTCGCAGAGACGTCACAGATGTGACAAGCGCTTCGAGAGCACAAACAATGGTCTGCGTAGTGGTAGGGCTCTTCAAGCTCCACTACATACCCTTCGTTATGGGCACCATTGTGTAGGTAGAGGCCTAGGCTGTGGAATACCAGAAGCTGGCCGAGGCAGCTCGTCAAGAGCCCTCGTACCGCGACAATATTCATTTCTTTCATGACATTGCGAATCACCATGATCCGAAATGAGCCCGGTAAGAAATTCTGGAGTTGCGGCAAAGATTTCTTACCTCTCTTAGCGTAATCCCCTGGTCGAGCTATAAATGACTGCCACCTATCCTGGACCTTAAATCATCATCTTGATGACGAAATAATTAGACGATCAACTCCAACTCGAAAGTGAGGTCGCCTCCTTTCTCGACCGCACTCCGCTGGGTTTTGGCAAAGGAGCATCAAGAAATTTTCTGAGCGTTGAAGACAAGTGGTGGACACTATGTAGGTGGATGGGACACGCTAGTTGAGCTGGAAAATTGGAAGCAAAAGCAAACAAAACCACCGGGACTGGCCTAAAAAAAGCCTACTCTCTTCATCTTGAAATGAAATATGGTTATATGTGTGTACGGACGAATGTTTGCTTCATATCTTTACTAACCCGCGCGTGTTTGAATTAGCCACAAACGGGATTTGCACGACATAACTCGTCCATTAACCCACATTAGCCGTATTTAGCTCACATTGTACTCCCAGTCGCCATTGCCATGCACTTTCGAGCCGCGACAAGACACAGCTGTGATACTCGACAGCAACTCTCTCTTTTCACAGAATGGATAATTCGTCGCCACTCATCTGAGGGCTGTTGCTCTATGAAAATCAGGGCTTCATGTGTTAAACCATTTTCATGAATGAGGGAACACTGTTCCCGGGCGATTTGAAAATGTTTGACACTACGTAATGGTATTGAGCATTGTGTAGATACTAAGCCTTGCTCGTTTCTGCTGTAACGTCGCAGTCACTAATGAGCACGTCAGCTCTCCCGGTGAACATTCCACATCGAACCAGGCCCCCACTCTGATTACGTCAATTGGCGTTTAATAATCTGTAGCTGGGTACACTAGAAGTATAGGAAGAACCCTGATGAAGTCAAAGAAGACCCTAAAAACTTAAAAGTCTGGTTCCTTGCCAGGAAAAGAATCTGTGACCAACTCCTCTGCACACTCACTTGTCTCCGATCACAATCACCCAATTGAAATATTAATTTTACTTTAGTTGTTCGTCTTTACTTAGCAATGCATTGACCTCAGGTGAATGAGATCATTCCTGAGACTTCGTTAAAAGCAGTGATCACTATGGCTGTGCGCAGTGCGGCTCCTATAAGGACTTTTATTTCTTTGGTGGACCCCAGCACGCTGGAGGGTGTGGTTGGGACCTCCTCTTCACGCTGTTCCCCATGGTGTTCATTAACGTCATCTAGCACTGCCCTCTAGCCGTGATCGCTGCTTTTGAGGGCACAACCTGCGGCCATGTTGGCGTACTTATCCCGCTCAAAACGATAGTATAGGCGCGCAAGTGGAGAAAGAAGCAAGCGATCCAGAACTCTGGAGTAACGACCCTCTTTCCTCTAGACTATAGAGGAGCCCTAGAGGCACACAGCGAGGTAAGAGGTACCATGCGAGCAGGAAGGACAAAATACCCGGAGAAGAGCGTGATAGCAGGTACTGCAGCGGTGAATGTGCATGGTTGTTGAGATCCATTATCACAAACTCTAGGCCCTCAGCGACATTCCAACAAATTTTGAGCCGACCGGTACCTTTTCTACACTGCTGTGTCGGCGAGCTCCTTCTAAAAGTCAATTAAAATAATCGCGGGTTGTGCCTTCAAAATGGCATTCTACTGGTATTTTTTCTGGTGCAAGGCTAATATAGGACATACATTGAGTCACCTTCAACCTCTAGACCGTAATTGCACGCTCCTCCTACAATGATGCGCGAAGTCAAGGTGTCTCCCTATATAAGTTGTGTATCAACCCTCTTTTTTCTACTAGCCAAGATCACTTAGGCTCTACCAAATGATCTCGAGCAATATTGTATGTCCAATAAGTTGTTCATTTACGAAATTCATTGAGGACTCTCAACGGAATCGTTATCGGGTAAAAACTCCTCATCGGTAATGTTATATGTAATTGTACAGAATATATGTAATTTGTATTGTAGTTGATGTGTTCATTGAACTTATTTTATGTTAATAAATGTTTTCGTTCACACTTTTTGGGTATGAAAAGCCCAAAAGGCGCTATCTCAATTTACGACGGCATTGTGGTGGGAATGCATTCAAAACTGCGTAAGACATGGCCTTTTTTGTTGAAAGTGGGACTAATCCTCGGCGGGTTAAGAAGGGACTCCAAGATGCGTGAGCCGTTTGCATTTTTCCCGGAATTCCTGCATCCTCCTAGGCTTAGTCCTTAAAGCCACGAGTCGGGATTAGGTCCCAAGAGCCAGTTCCTTTTAGGGTGAAGAGAGGGGTCCCCAAGGGCAGGAGGCACGACACTGTCGCGACTCAAAAGTGCGAGCCAACGGCGCTAAGGCCTTGCCTTGTGTGCTGCCGTGCTGCCATCCTTATCAACCACGGCATACGTGGTCTCTGCGTCCTGCAACGTACGGCGTACTATTCTTCCGTTTTTCCTCTCTCCGCAGCGCCTGTGCTCTCATCAATACCACGGCCGGCTCATGATGGAGATTCAGGGTTATTGTGGCGCTTTTTTGCTTTATATCGACCACTTCTTTTCTCCTGCACTCATTGGCGCTGATTTTCAAAGCAAGCACGCAATGCCATTATTCCGCTCGTGCCTTTACTCATTCGCGCAATGTCAGGCCACCGTGGCTGGTACGAACGAACAGACTTTGACAGTGGCGCTAAGGCAAAATTCAAGGATAACTTTAGTGGGGATTCTACTCAAATGTGAAACTAGGGGTGGAAAGTGGACTGCCAATGGAGAAAAAAAGGAAAAACGTTCGTAAAATACACAGGAAATACGAGCCTTTTGCTCGAGGTTGCGGAGAAGATCAAAAGGCCGGCAGGGAGGTGAGAGATAATGTGAGCGCGGAGAGCGCTAGAGAAGTACGAGTAGAGAGAGCGGTGTGGCGGAGGCGTGTCGCAACAGGTGGAGCGTGTCAAAATCTTTAACATCTAGCGTCTTAGTGACGCGTTTCGATGCAGGAACGTGGCGCGCCTTCTGCAGTTGCGTCCCACGCACTTCCAGCCACTATAAGGGCTTATTAAGTCGGTCTGAGCCCGAACTTTGCTTTGAGGATGCCCATATTGTTGCGATAGCGCGCCCAAAAAGCACTTGTGGTAAGCATAGCGACTGAAGGTGACCACTGGACACGCTTTCTCTCTTCATCTTCAGGCTCGCACAGACAGAGAAGATTTCAGCTACTGGACATGTGACATAAGTGACAATCACTTTCTGGATTTTTTGTTTTATCAGAACAATAATATTCATTGTCCTAATGTTCGACACAGTTTTCGGCCACCCTGTACATGTCTTCGGGTGTGGTTTGCTATAACAGAAACGACAGCACGAAACGTTTTTTTCCGCTTCGGGACTAAGGCCAATATACTGGTTAAGAGTGGGAGCGAGAGTTCTAGCAGCAGAAAGTTTCGCGCTGCAAAAAGCGGGGAACTCGTTTTCTATCCCAGCGCACCACATCCCACGCCTTCCTCGCTCTCACTTTCATAGATGAGGTGAATACTTATCATTACTGGGGGTGGATGTTCGAAAGGTACTCCATTTTGGGACACCACAAACTTGGTGGAGGATTTGTCGAAAGTCGTTTGTCCGCCACGATGAAAATACAGCTTGATGAGTCGCTAACAGAACTGGGAACGACCGCAAAGGATTTGCGACATCAATGCTGCATGATGTTGTGATGTGATGAAACCCCCACATTTCCATCTCCTTCTACGCAGTGTGCGCTGCCTTGAAATAACATCTTACAACTACGTGATTCGGGACAAAATCCATCTTCGGTGATCGATATGGAACATTGCGAAACCATGGAATCGCATACAGTTTGAATTACGAACTCAAAACAAATTTTCCTTTGATCTTCACAATTGAGTATTCGGTAAGCGCCCTGATCTACCGTCGATGCCTGCGGCCGACCAAAAAAAAAACGCGTTCTGCTGAAATCGAGGGACCGGCACAAAGTCAGAGACTAGAAAAATGTGGAGAGCACAGACGGCTAAACGAGGGATCGGCGATACCATCGATTAGGGCGAGGCTACTGCCGAAGAACCACGGCCCGTAGATTGGGTGTCTAGATTATTGAAAGCGGCCTAAAAGGCGGAGTACTGAGTTATCTCACCAGTTGGTTAGGCAGGGTAGCACCTTAATACTTTTACTCGCATATCGAGTCTCGCGACAACTGGGAGATTTCGGGATGGCGAATGTTCCGGTTCCCGGCCATTCGGATTGTCGTTAGGGTCTGAATCTCAATCTTTCTGAGAATCATAACATTTTGCCAGCTTTCCAGCACCAAGTCGATACCACGGATGAAGAATTCTACTCTCTTTCATTGCCTGTCCTGTTTTGCGGGTTCAATCCCTTTCTTTCAGTTTTTGGTGCGGGTATGGGCCGTTTGTTTCGTTTTGCAATATATATATATATATATATATATATATATTTGTTGCTGCACCTCTTGGCAGGTTTCCACTCACACTAGCGCGTGATAGTTTCGGTACCACTTGCTTGTCTTCAACAGATAATCGTTCAATGCTTCTATTTTTCATAGTACCTCGAGGCTGTAAAATATAATAGTACTTTTCGAAGGAATAATCGCTCCATTTCGGCGTTTTTACAAACTCAAAACTAACCTTCCCTTGATCTTCACAATTGAGTATTTGGTAAGCGCCCTGATCTACCGTCGATGCCTGCGGCCGACAAAAAAAAACGCGTTCTGCTGAAATCGAGGGACCGGCAGAAAGTCAGAGACTAGAAAAATGTGGAGAGCACAGACGGCTAAACGAGGGATCGGCGATACCATCGATTAGGGACCGAGGCTAGCTGGCGAAGAACACACCCTAAGATATATGGAAGCGGAATAAAGAGACTGGAAGTAATGAGGCTTTGTTACCAGTTTAGGTTGTGCAGAGTATGTACGCAACACTAATAACTCTTGCTCTCAATATGCGAGGCTCGCACAACTAAGAAGATTGCGGTGAATGGCGCCATTTTTCATCGTCCGTCCTTCGCGTTTAGTTAGGCCGATGTCAGACTTTGCGAATCGCGCGATTCGCTAGCGTCCGCGGTCGCGTTGCGGTACCAGCCAATTGAGTGATTCACTGGCCGCGACGCGACCGCAGACGCTAGCGAATCGCGCGATTCGCAAAGTCTGACATCGGCCTAAGGCGTATGCAGTGTTTCGTTTCCCAACCCGACGAGCAAACGTAGAAGTTACATTGTCTCAGCAAAGCTACTGATTCGATCCAAATGAATACAATCAATTGGTCGAATATTGAGGCGTTCTTCTCTACCCCACGCGCATGCAGGGAGCGCACGCGATTGTTTTTCATGGGCGATACACTTTTCGTATTCAGCAGGAAAGTGTGAACGAGAAAAGCGGCCTGCATCTCTAATTAAGACAACCGTCCTTGTGCATTCAAAAGATTATCGCCATGAGTGGGGGGGGGGGCTCCATACGGCCGCTCACCACTGTACTTACGCCATACAAACTTCTCGATTCACCCTTTCTCCATCACCTCTGAACGTGCTGTTCCAGACAGCAATTTAATTCTGAGACGGCAGTTGACAAATCGTATGCCCCCACCCTTCTAACCTCCCCCAAATCTTTCTGACAAAACTTGCGGTCTCGGTGGGTGTAATATGATTGGCGGAAACAGAAATGTGAATTTGTCTATTTCTTTAGTTCCTTTCCTGAAGTATTCCCAAATCCAACGACCAATCGATGATTAATCAACCTGACGAAGGCGGCCCTCCCATTCTCCACTGTAACACTACCCCTCTGGAAAACTCAAATACAATACCCCGTTACTATAGTCAACACGCAAAAAGCCAGAGAACGAGCCTATCAAGAACTGCAAATACGTTCCCTCGTTGGGCTAGGTACAAAGGGTGGTTCACCCATTCCGTAGTGACAGGTGAGTGAAAGATCAAAGGCAGAAACAAAATCATTGCAAAAAAACAGTACAAATGTACTTATTAACTACCCAATATATTTAAAATGTTATTGTATAAAATAATAATAACCTTTCGAAGTGTCGAAAAAGTTTCGTGTGGGATTTTTCGTTCGCCACGCCAAGTATGGCCGATGTCAGACTTGCGAATCGAGCGATTCGCTAGCGTCCGCGGTCGCGTCCAAGCAAATGCTCTGTTGACTGGTACCGCAACGCGACTGCTGACGCTGGCGAATCGCTAGTAGCGAATCGCTCGTGTCTGACCAAGTCTGACATCGGCCTATTGGCGACCCTTTCGTCATCTTCAGAGTATCCGACATGATTAAATCGTTTCACTATGCCCAGCAAGCCGTTAACGATTCAGAAGTCGAGGTTACCACGCGGCTCAATTCGAGTAGCCCCCGAAACTGATAATTTTCGGGCGAAACAACAGTGCTGATCATTGCACACACTCCTTTTGAATGTTGCAGTCATAAAACAAGTACAGGTTTTCAGATATACCGCTCCACACAATAAGCGATTTTCGAGGATTCATGTCAAGGCCGATCGCCCTCTATCCTGAGCATGGAAGGATTAAAGGCACGTGTTGCGATTAGATCAGAGAAATTCTTTCCTTGAGGAGGTAGCAGGACTCACAGTCGCAGGGGTGATCGAACTGAAACTTGAAAGTGTGCGACAACGGAGCCGATGCCTTGGCTTGCCATTCAATTATCAATCACAGTGTGTCAGCGTCTGCGCCCTCTCGCGTGCTGCGCTTTCCCGCGCTTTCCCGCGTTTTCCCTCTCATCGCCGGGCTGCGTTTCTCCGTCGCACAACGGTTGAGCTCATGAGGAAAATTTCAGTGTTTCTTTGGCGCACTTGGCCTTTTCTCCATAACGTTCCTCTACGCTTTTCTTGTCTCATTCAGCAAAATGACATCACAATTCGATAACGCCACATTTCTTTAATAGCAATATCATTTTCATTTGGAAGTCTGAAAACAATGTCTTGAGCATTAGCTGACACACGCAAGTTGGAGTGCAGGATAAATGCGCGTTCCCATGTTCTGTGACCAGAGAGGAAATCGAGAGTGGCGGAATCGGCCCACACTGAAGAATTCAACCCCATATACTCAATGTATGTATTTCAGAAAAAAAAAGTGCGACAGCTGTTTCATCGTTCAATGGCGACCCGTTTTCGAGACTTGCAGGAGAGTTCACGGCCCTTGTTTAGCCGACGAAGCATAAGCACGGATCAAGTTATACGATAAAAATCGCCGGTACCCCGCTTACGCCTTTCGACCATCTTTGTTGCCGTCAGTCTCCATAAGCTATCGCTCGGCTTACAATAGCCGTCTCCTTTGTTGTCCCGTTTGTCCTTCACGAACGAAAAAGAGAGTCTCTCAACATGCTAGTTCTGCTGGTCACCGCTGGCAAAATGCCAAGCTCATTTCGGCATTCATTCTTCAGTCATGCGATACCCATGCAAGCCTACTAGGTCGTAGCAAAAATTTGTCAGTAAGGCGAAAAAATTGAAAATCTGGTATCAGATTTCATTAACGAATACACGTGACCACAAGTAGTCAAATATTTCCGAGAAATCTGAATCTGGATCTGAATCTCAATCTTTCTGAGAATCATAACATTTTGCCAGCTTTCCAGCACCAAGTCGATACCACGGATGAAGAATTCTACTCTCTTTCATTGCCTGTCCTGTTTTGCGGGTTCAATCCCTTTCTTTCAGTTTTTGGTGCGGGTATGGGCCGTTTGTTTCGTTTTGCAAGTTTTAAATAATTTTTTTTTGTTGCTGCACCTCTTAGCAGGTTTCCACTCATTCCTAGCGCGCGATAGTTTCAGTACCACTTGCTTGTCTTCAACAGGTAATCGTTCAATGCTTCGATTTTTCATAGTACCTCGAGGCTGTAAAATATAATAGTACTTTTTGAAGGAATAATCGCTCCATTTCGGCGTTCTCAAAACCACTCATCGAGAGGGGAGCCAGAGTACTATGCTACATGTTCGCAAAACATGCAGGAAACTCAACCGGTGGGCGTATCGCGCCGACAACGCCGCGGGGAGGGTCATACTAGGTCGCCGGGGCATACCCTTTCCGGGGAAAGGCGTGTCAATGCGCAACCTTAGGGTATTCGCCTGCCTTTCCATTGGGTATATTCCCCCTTCTTCGTTTTCCGACCTGTCGTGGAATCCTCCTTTATAAACTCATGTAGACTCACCGGTCTTTCATTCGAACGCATCACGGCCCTCAGGATTCGCAACATCGCGTTAAGTAGTAACAAGTGAGTAGTAGTCCATTTTCCAATACAGGTGGCAATGAAGGACCCCCTAGGAGCCCACATCGATGCTTCGGGATTGATCCGATTAGGATTTCGTCTTCTCCTGCTGTTTTCCATACTTCGATGGCAGAAAAGCTACGACGAGCTGAAACAGCTGCTGCTAAAAGAGCGATTTCTTGCAGATGACGAGTGAGTTATGCTGAATTTCTTAAGGCTTTCCGATCAAATATCTAGAATTTCAGACTAAATGCATATCTGCTTGAGCGGCTTGGACCAAGAGGATTGGAGCGATCTCGAACTACCTTTCTGAGGCTTTGTCCAACAGTTTCCCAATGTGGCATTGTGCCACCATTTATTCACTACGAAAGTCGACAAATCGTAAGAAGCATTCTTTCCTTCTGAAACTAAATCTCAAACTCTGTCCCGAATCAGCCCAATCTAGAACAGCGAACAGCGCTTTTCACTCCTGGGTGGTCATGAGATCATTTCTTGCTACAGACTGGAAATTTCTGTCATCCAGCGGAGCTTGGCTTGCTATTACCCAACACTACAACATATTATCAAGGATACCATGTTGATTGGATCCAGAGAGCACTGTCTTGAATGTCTACTGCATACCTCGAAATATAACACTGACTGGTTTAAATACCTTAAAGTCATGGTTCGGGACTAGGTGCCGAGAGGTAATCCCTACTAGAGTGAGAAAGAGGGATCCCCAAGCGCAGGAGGCGCGACACTGTCGCGACTCAAAAGTGCGAGGCAACGGCGCTAAGGCCTTGCCTTGTGTGCTGCCGTGCTGCCAGCCTTATCAACCACGGCATACGTGGTCTCTGCGTCCTCTCGCGTACGACGTACTATCTCGCGTTCTCCCTCTCCTCGCAGCGCTGTGTCTCTCCGTCGTACGGCCGGCCTCCTAAGGGAAATTTAGTGTTTTCTATGGTGCTTTTTGCTTTTTCTCCTCACTTATCCTCACCGCATTTCTTGTTTAACTTTTAAACGAAGGAACACACTAACTTGATCCTAATCCGTGCCTTTAGCGCTTCAACTAGAGCTCGCTTTCCTTGTGAATTCCTAAAAATCGGTCACGGTAAAGCGTAATTTTCATGGCCATTTGCATGAATCAAAAATAGTTCCCAGTGAAGGGACCCCGAGAACAAGTGGATTCGTTTCTGCCGCCGGCGTTTGTGACAGATGCACATGTACGTGAATTTGAAAGATAATACCTGCCAGTTTTTCGAATTGCTTAACAAATAATTTTTTGTTCTTTTCCTTCGTATCGTGAACGATTGGTCACAAGGCAGTGATTTATGGGTGACAGAGAATCATAATTTCTCGGAGAGGATTCCTTTGACCGATCTCCGAGTCGGCTGGCTGGCTAGCATAGGATCGGATTCCCGGGCTCTACTACTTTCTGCACGATTTGGGGCGCGGCCGCGGCGAGCGCGGCCGCGCCCCAAATCGTGCAGAAAGTATGGGAGCCGGATTCCCGAACCATATGTATAGTGACTGCGCTAAAATGCAGTACATGCTTCAAAATTCCAACTGGCAGTAACCTCAAAGGAACACTTCGCAGAAACTTATTGCATTCTTTTTTGACATGTGTCAGTTGTGATCACTGGAAACTTGACTTCACCCCCCCCCCCCCTAGACTGGCTACACTGCCCCTGGCTCACGGATTCCCCGCTCCACATTGAAGGGTTCACTGTAGCAGGAGGCAGTGGGACCCGTAACGAATGGCGTCCTTTACTAGTCAGTAGGAGTACAAAACGATGGCTTCCACTACGTATCAA